CCACCGCCAGGCACCCAGCTCAGCATCCCTCCTGCAAAGAGCCAGATGCATCCATCCTTCAAAGACCCCACTGCTTCCCAGGTGATGAGCATGAGGGGGGGGTTCCCAGGGCTGGGGGCAGGCAGGGATCTCCGGCTGGAGGCAACCCACATCCCTGCCTCCCCTCCTCGTTAACAGAGCACTAATGGCCGTTGCTTAGAGACGGGCGCAGGAAACCTTCCCATCCGCCGGCACCGGGCGGGGGGACAGCGACCGCTGCCTTCCCTGGCACTGGCCTCTCGCCCCTTCCTCATTGCCCCTAGATCATCAAGACAAGGCTGTCCCTGGGGCATCCCTGCAGGCAGGGTGGATTTTTCAGTCCTTATGTCCCTCCCTCAAGGAGAGAACAGAGGCAGTGAAAACCCCGACCCACCACGACAAGGGGAGTAGGGGTGAGAAGTGGGATGCCAGGGTGGCCAGATCCACATGGAGAGACTGGCAAACACCCCACGAATCCCCCTGGGGATGAGGACAGCAGGGCACAAGGCCAGCGCCCAGCGGGGCTGGGGGAGGGCAGGGATTGAGCAGGGGATTAAAAAGGGAAAAAAAGAAAGAAAGAAAAAAAAAAAAAGGGAAAAGAAGAGCTAAATCCTCATCATTTGGCCAAGTGACAAGGACAGGCAGCAGTGCTGGCAGGGAAGGGGCTGGATGGCAAGGATAGCCCCGAGGGTCCCCCACTCCCCCTGAGGCGCAGGGGGGGAGAGAAAGATGGGGGGGGGGGGGCAGTAGCCATGAGCACCCTCCCAGCACCCCGTGTCCACACTCTGTGGTGCCAGGCAGGTGCAGCAATTAATTATCCTGGCAGCAATTTCTCTGGGGACGGGGGGGGACGACACAGAAGCCTGCTGAGACACGCACACACAACACTCCCCCCTCCTTCCCCCCACCCAATCGGGGCAGATTCAATCCAGTTCCTGCCTCTGCTGCTAATTAACAGGGCCGGAGGCACGGCCTGTCCCTCTGGCAACACCACGGCCCTGTCGATGCTGACGGGGGTTGCCATGGCAACCTCGGACCGGATGATGGGGACCCCAGCTAACGAGATCGAAGCTGGGGCAGGGAGAGGGGGGAGAGCCTGTCACAGCCCTGCAATCATCACCTTGCCCTGGGCGGGCTGGGCCACCTCAGTGTGTCTCCCCTGATCCCCTTCAGGCACCCTGGGGTGCCCCTATGGCCACCCTCACCAGGATGGGGCCCATTTTTGCTTCCACCCCTTCACATTTAGAGTCCAAATAAAGAGGGGGAGTCACTCAGTCCCCCATCAGGACCCAGCATCCCACCCAGCTCCATCCACTTCCCTGAGGACAAGGCAATGGGGTGAGAGAGAAGGCGTCTAGCACCCCCAGGGGTGCTGACAGCCCCCCAGATGTCCCTTTGCAGGGCAGCACTGTTTGGGGAGCGGGGAAGAGGCGCTATCCCCAGTGAAGCAGGACGGCAAGGGGACACCCTGCACCTTTCCCCACCCCAAAATGGGCACGGGGAGCCCCCTCTATCCCCTCTCACCCCTACCTCCGCCAGCACCCGGTGCATCGAGGCGATGGCCTGGGGCGAGACGTTCCACGGGTCGGTCTCCTCCACCATCAGGACGTCGAGGGTGCCTTTCTCCAGCACCACATCGAAGGTGGCGCTGGGGAAGCTGAGGGCGCGCATGTCCATGACGGCCCAGCGCAGGCCGGGGCAGTGGGCGTAGCGGGCGCGCATGGCGGCGATGCAGGCCGGGGAGAAGTCGATGCTGGTGACATCGGTGTAGCCCAGCTCGTGCAGGT